TCCCGTGCATGCTCTACTTTTTTTTAGAAATTAAAAACAATTGTCTGTGCTTAATTTATTTGACTTTACCCAGCGTTATCCTAATTGTAAAATGAAATTTATAAATTGATCTCTCTCGTTAGATTCAACATTTATTAGAAACAACTGCTTTTTTGGTATAATTGAGTTAAGAACCGACACTATATCGTTCGAGACATTTCTATACGCGCACCATTTCAATCTTCACTAGCCAGAACAGAGTTTTATTGACACGGTATCTTTTGGTTTAAGTGAGTTATAGAAAAAACTGTTCGGTACTGAACGAGTTAAAGGTAAATGTTGGATTAAGAATTGACGTCACAGCATTCGGGACACTCCCATTAGCGCTACGTCCCCATCATCATCAGCAAATGAAGAGTTAAAATTCCGATGATGGTACCAGTAATAGTCTGAGTGTATATCCGTCTCGCCCCTCCGCCGAGTGTCAAGCGTCGGCCAGATCCCCTTGTAACTCCTCGCAGTGCCATTCTCCTCAGACCGTAATGATCTATCTGTTCCTCGGCACTGTTCACTCGCTCCCAAAGGGCCCTCACAACATCCAGCTTGTCATATATCAGTTCACCACCAAGTGGTGCAGAACCGGCCAGTCTATCCGCCTGCTGATTTCACTACACACCGGCGTGACCTGTTAAGAGTGAAAGAAGCAGAAAGTCGGTGGCCTGGATAACTTGCCAAGGCGATTAACGTCAGACTGCAGCTTCCGGCGGATGCCAAGGAAAACACTCCACAAACAGACAAGTATGGACATCGGAGACAAGGACCGAGATCTCTAGTTCGTGATGTGTGGAATGTTTTCATTGTTACGTAACTTTTATCTGACGTGAAGTGAGTACTGCTAGCCAAGGCTTACACTTAAAACATTTTTCTTCTAAACTTAAATGTTCAAAGTGCAATAGATTTTTAAGTATGTAAGCAATGTAGGTAACGCAATTCACGCTTTTTTAAAATTATAATTAAATTATTATTATTTTTTAACCAACCTCAAGTCTTTAGTTCTCAACTTCAACCGAACTTATATTATGAATATTTTATTTCTTTATGGGAACATGACAAGTCATAGTCTAAGGCAGCTATTGACAGTGTAAATGTGTAATAACTATGAATTATTCTGGGGAGAAGGGCACAAGTAATTATTAGTAAAAGGCTAGTCTGAGTTGATTACTGATTTTTTAGGAATCAACATCATTATATCATAGCATAGCACACCGGACCAGGCATACCCATAGATGCTCCGTCTCCCGCAGCAAATGACGTAAGGTGTAGATAAAAACTGTTCCCATAGCACACTGATTATACACACGCCAATCTCCCCACATAATTTCTCGTTCACACATTCTTGTCCATGTTATTTCATCTAATCTCATGTCTTCTGCCAAAAGTCATTCATATATTTTCTTCAGAATATCTCCCTTGTTGGCTCTACTTGGAATAACGGATCTAAATGAACTACGCAGAAAATTAACCCAAACAGAGCCTCACAACGCAGACAGTTAACCCAAACAGAGCCTCACACATATGTAAAAGTCGCATTTTTTTGCGGCGATTCAACCGTGCCAAAAGTAGTATTAACTGCGCACAACATTTTCGCGGAACGCAACGGATTTTTTAAGGCGATTAGATGGCGGCAAAACAAGGATTAACTGCATACGAAAGAAATTACCGACACGCGACAATACTCCCGATAGCGCTATCCTACGGCAGGGCCCGAGTTATATGTAAGTTGCCGATCGCTTTTCGCCTACTATAGTGCCACCTCCGAGAGTATCTGCCGCTACGGGCGGCGCGGAGGGGGTTAAACTAGATGGCTGGAACTTACGAGCAGCAGATACCGCAGTTCCTGCAGCTTCCTCCAATGTATTTGCTCGTGAGTCCTAGCCATCTAGTTCAGTCCCTTCTCAGAGGTGGCACTGTAGTTGCCAGAAAAAAAGTCAACAATTTACAGGAGCTACTCCGTCTGTCGGAACTACCAGCGCCATCACGGCGGCTGCTGGTTTGACGTTGTCCGTGGCGACATACGCGTACATTAAACTGCGCATTAGAGCTGATCACATCTCGCTGGAAACGAGAATCGCGGACAGGCCGTGCTGAGTTGCGATAGCGGACAGCGAGAAACAACAGATATTCGCGCACTATTTGCAACTAGTGTGCCACAATTTCCACATATCAAGGATTTAATTTTCGGTAAGTAGTAGACTTTGCCCTTTTCCTGATACTTACCATTCCTTATATATCCCGAGTTACAGCTTTTAAATGTTTGTAGACCAGGACGTAATGAGGCTCTGTTTGGGGCTAACTTTCTGCGTAGTTCATTTAGTTCATTCCAAGTAGAGCCCCCTTGTCCAATACAAGTGTTCCCGTAGCTTTCACTTTTGTAGCTAGAAAATCTGCTCTTTTATTCCCTCACACTCCTGCATGTCCTGGACAATATATCCACGTGATTCCCTGCAATGTTGGTGTACTGATGCATGGTATCCACTCATGCCACATTAGTCTATTTTGAACCTTCCGCAATGCCGACTGAGAATCAGACACAATAATTCCTCTGGTAACTTTGTTTTCTGCTATCCACTTCAGAGCTGCAGTGATTGCCTTCACTTCCATTCTCATGCTTGAAGTTGTTGATAAAAAAAGCTCCATTTTGTTCTGCCACAATTTTTTCCTTCATTCTAGCTGAAAATCCCCAGCCAGTTCTTACACCCCCGATGAACAGAACCATCGGTGTATATACTACTGCATTATCTAGTTCAGCCTTTCTATCTATCAGTAGCTGTACCTCTAATTCCAGTTCTAGATGTTTGGGGCCGTTAAAAACATCATAAAGCCAGGAAACTTAGTCTTATTACCCTAAAAAATGTTGGACTGTCCTGTGATGTCATCTGGGGTAGGATATTAATCAAGCACCTCAACCAGTCTTTTCTTAAATCGTTCTAATTACCATGCAGTAGATGCCTTTCATCATTGGTAACTCGCATAGAGACCTTGGCTTGCGCCAGTGACAGTCTAGACTTTACCGATGTCAGCCCAAGCTTTTACCTTGAACAATAAGACCAGTAATCTTTGTTCCATGAGTGTCGCCACCAACAACTTCAGTGCCACCAGGCCATGCTTGCATTTGATCACAGTCTGCTCCACGTGACATCTGTAGGACAGACTGCGGTCAAACTTAAGTATTTCAGCTTATCTCTTCTTTCAACATGAATACCCTTCATGGATATGTTGGGCAATTCTTCTTTCCCAATGTTGTTATTCAGAGAGCACCACAAAACACTGGCCTTCTCTGTGTTTACCCTTGACCCAGTTCACACCACTCCGTCATCTCATGGTAAATGTCAAAGTCCAATGAGCTGAATTTTTGCCATACTTTCTGTATATATGTTAAACAAGACAGGTGACAATGGTGATCCCTGGGAAAGGCCTGGGCAAGTGCATATTAGAACCAATATCCATGTTCCCCAACACAATACCACTGATCTTTCCAAAAATGCTGCCCCCATCCAATTAGCTAACCAAGGGTTCACACCACACTCCATTACGCACTCCATTACATATGTGAAGTCCAAGCTGTTATAGGCATCTTAGATCTATTGCAACAGCGACTGTATCTTGCTTTCACTGAAATCCTTCATGGTTACATCCTAAATAGTTCTGGTCTGCATCAGGTTAGGGATTTTATATACCTACGAAGAATGAGCACTGAAGATGGTAGAATTGAAGGAGAAATAGAAACCATGTGTCAGAAATCAAGTGCATTTAAATACCAATTGTCACCATTATTAAGACATCTAAGCATAACTTTGAGTGCAAAGAGACAAATTATAAACAGCATATTAATTCCAACATTAAGCTACCAGTGCCAAACATGGACACTATCTAAAGCCCATGTATGCAAAATCACCACCTGCGAGATGAGATGCCTGAAAAAAGCAGCCAACCTAACCATCCAAGATCAAGTGAATAATGAATGATACTATCAGACAAATTGTGGGAACAACACCTTGTACTAGATTCATTGAGAAACAGCAGATAAAGTAACTTGGCCATCTCATTAGAATGCAGCAAGATCAAATACCATCCCAAGCACTACATCTAAGAAGATCAGCCACAAGAGCAAGAGGACACCACAAAAATATGGATCGACAACATTAAAGACACTCTACGCCTTCACGGCATGACAGTAGCCACTGGCAGCCAGCGTGCATTGGATCGCAAATTATTCCTTCCCACAGCACTTAACTTCAAAAGTTGTTTTTGATGATGATGACTACATACTCCAGTTATGCACCACAAGGAAAGACTACTTCATCCTGTAGAGAACTTAGGCTTTTATTCTCATAAAACCCCAACCCTTTGTTACTAGGGAAGGAAAAATTATTGATGTTATTTTTTTTTAAAGAAAAAGACTCTTCCCTTCATCTGCAGGTGTATAGGGCATATAATACTAAACCTATCATGCCGGTCTCCTTTACTTCCCAGGACTTAACCTATTATTCATTTCAGTTTAGATAAGGACCAAGGTCATTTAAAAAAAATTTTGTTTGCTGCATTAGGATTTGAACCTATGACTTTTGGTTCCACGGTTTGCATCTAGCCGCTACACAACAGCAGCTCCCTTTCTTATAAGATGCAGAGATATTTTCTGTTTTCATCTTCTAGTCCATGCTGTTTAATGTTGACCAGCGTGCCTGTCCACAGCCTTGTGTCCTGTGTACTGGCAATTTCTGACACAGATGTTCCCTCATTTCATGATCTCAGACTTCTCAAATGAACGTTACATACAAGAGAAAGACTAGTCTCACTGTCTTCTATTTTGACAGACACAAGCAATGGTACAGATACTGTAATGCAAGCAAACAACCAAAAAAAAAATGTGTTATTTTGTTGTATTCCTGATTGTTCCTGAATCATTGCCCAGATGTGTCAAGTAATGGAAGCTGGTTGAAACAGTTGGAATAAACACAAGCATGGAGGACAACACAGAGCTGACTAATGTTCCAGGTAAGATTGTCAGTCTTTTGTTACTGTGGAACTGTCAGTTACCTGTTTCTGTAGAACTGTCAGTGATACTTACTGTCAGACTATAAATTATATGTGGAACTGCCATTTAATTGTTACTGTGGAAATTTGGGTTTACTTTTCATGTAAAAAAAATAAAGTAATGGACCCTTTTCCACGTCTTTCAGGCGAATTAGGTATAAAGGGCTAGACCTATATTTTATAGACCAATGACACAAGATGGGTGATGTGGTCAGCATTATGCCGACCACATTTACTTTCCAGGACTGCACCCGGTACCCACTCAAGGCTGGGAGCCAGGGTCATTTTTGCAAAAAGTCCGGCTCCAACAGGGAGTGAATCCGCAACCTTCCGATCCGCAGGCGAGCGTCTAACCGCTATGCCACAGCGCCTTCCTTACTTTTCATGTAATGATATATTTTTTTAGCAGTAAAGTAGGTTTTCTAGGATGCTCTTGATTATAAGTAATAGTAACTCATAAAGTTTTTAGTCAGTATCTGTGGCTTCAGTGTAATGAATACAGTAATATAATTCTAACATCCATTGTTTGATTTGGCTGTGGGGGTGATTTGATGGTAGACTGCTTTGGGTTTTGACAAAGATATGTGTGTCAGTCCGACAGAAGGCAACGACAAATGTCAATTGCCTGGTTGAACCACAAACAACCAGTAATTACTGGGGTTGGTTTTTGATGTTTGTAAAGGAAATACAACTGACTTTAAAAATCTTACAGAAAGTTAAGTAAATGAGGGCTAACTTGTTCGTTCTTTTGTTCCATTGAGAATATATGAATAAATCCAGAATTATCATAGTAGTAGCTCAGAGGAGCAGAAAAAACTACCTGTCAAATTCACTGTCTCTAAAACATCACCAACACAAGAAGGACAGGACTACAAACACCAGTATTTAAGAGAGCAAGTGTCTGAATTTCATCGAAAGGACATAGAATGAAGTGTTTTGACCATCTTGTAAGAATGCAGCCAGACCAAACTATGAGACCTATAGCAGAAAATCTTGTCAGAATGTGAGAATAAGGCAAGAAAGAAATAGGTAGAAAAGTGTAGCTCAGTCCGATAAAAAAGAGGACACCCCCCCCCCCCTTTCCCATTTCTCAGGCCACTTGAGAAGCACTAGACAGATACGAACTAGAAAAACACAGAACACTGGGCTGCAACCCAGCAACAATGTGATGAAACAAAATAATAACAATCTCAATGAATAGTTATTATGTTATCTGTGCTTGTGCTCTACTCTACAGACTATCAGAAAATTATGCAGACCAGCCAGTCTGCTGGCGGTCAAGGCTTGGCCAGTGGACACAACCTAGCTAGTAAGTTTGACACTGTATATTTTCATTATCATCATTAATGCATGCCTGGTGGTTGGGTGAGCATGTTTCTCCATTACCATATTTTCTGTTTCGTGATATTTACCCTTTTCTTAATTCACCCTTAAAAGAATGATTGGCATGTTCTTTTGTGGTTTACAGCTAAGCTGTGATGTCTACTCCTTTCAGCCCAACATCCAGTTTTGACTAACCCTTAATTAGCCACATGCTTGTGATGGGCATGGGTCTGTGTATTCCTCCATAATGTTGCTGGAGAACCCACACTGGGATTTCTGATATTTCTTCAGTGAATGTTTTCCCTGCAACTCTGTTAACCTCATTGTGAAAAGAAAGATAAACACTGTGAACAGCCTTACAGAAATGAACATCAGTCTTAAAAGTGCTCTTGACAGAGCCCATCAACAAACATTACATCTCCCCTCGACACTTGGAGGAGGTACAAGGTGGAAGAGAAGAAGAAGAAGACATCAAATCTGTATCTGTATGCAGGGCTATGCAGATGTTCAAGGCAGTGAGTGTACAGATTGTCTGGCAGAAACCGCAGTTATTAGGACTGGTCTGGCATTTTGCAGAATTTGTGTGGTTAATGCCATCTGAGATGCATATTACAAAACATCAGTATGTGAACATTTTTCTGTATCCCATTCCATCTTGGTGTGACCCGGAGCTGCCAGAAATGGAATATTTCACTAAGGACACAAGAAGTTTGATTAGCCAATACAGAACTAGCATGATCATTTGTTTTATGCTTCAAGAGCTATTTATTAAGAGATGGGAGCACCCATGGATCTGCCTAGAGTACTATGATAATAGTTCTCACCAATCACTGACAGTGTAAGTATTAATTTGGAATGCTGTTTTGCTTAAAAGAAAAACATTAGCATGTAGTTAGTTATTTGACAGACTGACAGATCAAACTGACTGCAGTCAGTTTGTTCCTTTGATCTCTCAGTGGGGATGCAGGTTCTCAACCTCACATGATGGTGCGCCATGACCACGACACAGATTAGTCAAGACTTATCTACACCTCTACTAGAGACGGGTTTCCAGTCAGGAGCCTTGCCAGCATTAGATAAGATTGCTCTTTTTCTCAGTGTCAGAGTGCATCTGTCTGAGAGGCAAGGAACCCACAGTCTGGACCAAAATAAGCCAAATCTACCAAATAGATGTGCACCAAAACTCAAGTTCTAAAAAGAGACCAAAGTCCAGAAATGGACAAACTCTGTACTAGACTTTACAGCCAGAAATGCTATGAAGAGCATATCCTAATGAAGCATAGGAAATCAGTCAACTAATGTCAAACCCTTTATAGACATGTTTATGATTGATTATTTTGCAGTTAAAGTTTTTTGCTAGGTGAGATAGGCAGACTCACTGCAGGTGTTTGTCTTAACACAATTTGAATCCTTACGTTTCAGATTGGAATGATAGCCTTGAAGCATTGGCACCATCACCAGTTGTCCACCATCCACTGCCATCATCAGCAGGCAGACTTGAGCAGCAGCATGGGAAGTACACAACTGAAGTTTGGGATAAACATGTGCTAAGCAGCACCAAAGGGTTCTTGGACACAAACAGAGCAACTTGGGGATCTCCTTCTCAGTATGATGCTTCTAAATATAGCATTATAGTGGACAGTGCTGGTGAACCAGCTCTCAAACATGAACCCAGTTACATCCCGCAGGGTTACACTAGACCTGTGTCCAAGTATGTTGATGCCAACGGCGTGGAGCGTCGGGTCATCAGAAGAAGTTTTTCACCAAATAGGAAAAGTTACACAGAAGGTCTGCTTCTCAAAGATGAAACAGTGCTGAGTGCTGGGGGTGGTTTTCGAACTGTGTTAAATCCGAAAAACCTCCACCACAACTATTCTTCCCCGGCTTTGGCACTTTCCAGGAATGTGGGGAATTATGCTGATGGTGATAATTCGCTGCAACCAGGCATCATCAAGAGTAGCTTTATGACAAAGAGCATGGAGTATTTAGGAAATGGCAAAAGCCAAGTAATGGGAAATGACCAATGGAAGGATATTGGAGATGGTCACATACTAAAGAAGTCCCCAAAGGATAATCTGCGCCACTGGCAACAGCAGCATCAGGAGGAATTGCTGCATCAACACTTGGAGACACAGGTAGGTTCCTCTGTACTTTTTCTTTGTCTTGCTGGTTTGCAAAGGATTGCTTTCATTATCCATGGATATCCTGAAAAGTTTGTCAGTCTCCTTCAAAAGATCATGCTAGGGGAATCTCAACCTGATGCACACACTCTGTAGCACTTGGATGGTGCACATTTGTGTCTGTACAAGAATTACACAAGCCATAAATATAGAACTTTATTATTTTTGGAAAGCATTGCTAATGTTTCAATTTTATTTGGGCAGCGATTTTTGATTCTGTCTTGGTCTTCTTGACTGCAAACTATCAAGAGATTTTAAACATGCCCAGCATGCACATCGGGCATCTGAGTTTTGTTGTCCTTGTCTGAGAGGGCTTGATGTCCAGTCATATCATTCTTTTCTTATATTGTAAAAATCTGGTGTATGACACTTCCTCTTATTTTGTCCTTTTTCCTCTAGAAGAGCATAGATCTGCAGTCCTCTCATACATGGTTTGACTACTCATTACTATCTCTTATAGTTTCTTCCATAGCTTTCCCATAATATTAACCCCTCCCCCCCCCCCCTTTTTTTTCTCCCCTCCCTTTCTCTGTGTCTGTGTAGGTTTTTTCAGTATCTTTCACAAAGCACACACCTTCCTCTGATTTATTAAATGTCTGTTCCAACACTCTTTCTTCTGTTTTCTGAGACATTTCCCATATCAATAATCCTTCTCTTATTCTTATTACCTATTCATTTAACACTTGTCAGAGAATGTTTGTGCAAAATTTGTCATATATGTTAACATGTAGGTTCAGTTTGACTTTAGTTTAGTCTTGTTTTATGTGTGCTGTTGTGTGTCTAATTGTTAATAATCACCATATTTGGACACATACATCTCTGAGAGTGCCAGTCTTCCCCTGCAGATCACATAGGAAGAATTTGATGCACTCTACAAACTTTAAAGTAACCAGTGAGCACCCAAATGTGTGTTTACAGTTTTATAATAAATCTTTGGACCCACCCAGGATGCAGACAGCCGGGAAACATTATCTATCTAAACCTAGTCCGAGCCTGGCAGTAAATATGACATTTAAGCATAATCTGAGGATTATCTGGCAAGGAATGGCAACACAAAAGGGAAGTGCTCAACCTATATCCTATATGATGACTTCACTAACAGTGGTATCTGCTTTGGGCTACTGTCAGTCTTCTTCTTCTTTTGTGATCTCACTGAAACCAGACTGTAGCCCATTGTCCCCGTAGTGTGTTAGTGACACTTTTTTTCTGTCTAATCTAGTGCCCTAGTTAATTTTTTCTTGTGTATTAGTGATTCTGTTATTGATTCCAGTTTTTATTTTATGGCATTTTGAAGGCTTTGTATGAAAACCCTAGCGGACAGCCAGCAGCACATATGATAGAACATGCCTTAGGGAGGGTGTCACTGCAGGACGAGCCAGAGACCAGGTGGGAGCCTGTCAGGCGGGCAGCTGATAACATAATCAGGGAGAAGAATATGATTATTGATAAGTAAGCCATAATGTTGTTTTATATCTCGTCAGTGTGTTTGAATTGATTGATTACTTTTCTTCTGTGCTTTATAGTTAACTAGAGCACATGCTACCAAGCTGATCATATGAATTTCTAGGGGGCTGCATGGTCTTGAGGTACGGTGTCCGCCTCGAGACTTCTGGTAATTTCCCCTGGTCTTTGGGTAGTGAGATCAGGCTCCCGTGTGTATTGTTGCGCATGTAAGAAATCCCTTGGCAGTTGGAAATCGAAAAGAGTAGCCTAGCGGCGCTGCCAGGGCAAAATTTGGAGTTTAAAATCTACCCAGAGTATTTTAGGATCCTCGCCGGTGCTACAGAGCCTATGCACTGTGCTGAGCTACTTGGGACTGAGACTTGAAGTTGGAAGTAGAACGGAGCACTTATGGGTAACTACCCATGTGCCATGATGTTGATCCGTTGTTCCAACCTCCAACCCCATATGAATTTCTGTCCTTTGCCACTGGTGCAGTTTACACCAAGCTCTGTCTTTCTTTTTATCTCTAATTCTCTTCTGCTTGTGCTTGTATGACTACCTCAGTTTATTTCACCCTGTGGGTTTCAGTATAAAAGGGCCTTATATTCAAACTGTTTATGATTTTTCTCAAATGTATAGCTTATCCAGTACCAGTATTTTTCCCTAACCTCTTGATTTTACTCGAATTTGTTTGATTCCTAAGCTTTGCATCATTGATTATGTCGTCCAATGTATTTTCTTGTATTCTGCTCAGGCATAAATTAATGCTCATATTTAATTTATCAGTAATGGTTTTAGTCATGCTTGAGAATCATAAGTGCAATAATATTCGTTTTCATGGGAAGTTTTTCTCATTTTGAGATGTAACCTAGACTTTGGTCTCTTCCTGCACACATACACAAACGGACATGTGTTTGATATCAAGAACCTTACCGGTCAGTATTAGTGGCGATGCCACTTCTCAACCCCCAGCCACTAGTAATGGGTAGTGTGATTAGGTGCGACATCAGATGTGATTGCATCTTTCCATAACATGACTTTAAGCTCCTAATATCACTAGTCTGGCCGAATGGTTAACAATGCAGAGCTCTCTTGCATGGTGTTGACAGATTTTTAACCTGTGTGGTGTTTGACCTGTGTTCTGGTGTTGACAGATTAAATGGTGTTTTGACCTGTGTTCTGGTGTTGACAGATTAAATGGTGTTTTGACCTGTGTTCTGGTGTTGACAGATTAAATGGTGTTTGACCTGTGTTCTGGTGTTGACAGATTAAATGGTGTTTGACCTGTGTTCTGGTGTTGACAGATTAAATGGTGTTTGACCTGTGTTCTGGTGTTGACAGATTAGATGGTGTTTGACCTGGTGGTGTTGACAGATTAAATGTTTTACCTGGTTCTGTGTTGACAGATTAAATGGTGTTTGACCTGTGTTCTGGTGTTGACAGATTAAATGGTGTTTGACCTGTGTTCTGGTGTTGACAGATTAAATGGTGTTTGGCCTGTGTTCTGGTGTTGACAGATAAAATGGTGTTTGACCTGTGTTCTGGTGTTGACAGATTAAATGGTGTTTGACCTGTGTTCTGGTGTTGACAGATTAAATGGTGTTTGACCTGTGTTCTGGTGTTAACAGATTAAATGGTGTTTGACCTGTGTTCTGGTGTTGACAGATTAAATGGTGTTTGACCTGTGTTCTGGTGTTGACAGATTAAATGGTGTTTGACCTGTGTTCTGGTGTTGACAGATTAAATGGTGTTTGGCCTGTGTTCTGGTGTTGACAGATTAAATGGTGTTTGACCTGTGTTCTGGTGTTGACAGATTAAATGGTGTTTGACCTGTATTCTGGTGTTGACAGATTAAATGGTGTTTGACCTGTGTTCTGGTGTTGACAGATTAAATGGTGTTTGACCTGTGTTCTGGTGTTGACAGATTAAATGGTGTTTGACCTGTGTTTCTGGTGTTGACAGATTAAATGGTGTTTGACCTGTGTTCTGGTGTTGACAGATTAAATGGTGTTTGACCTGTGTTCTGGTGTTGACAGATTAAATGGTGTTTGACCTGTGTTCTGGTGTTGACAGATTAAATGGTGTTTGACCTGTGTTCTGGTGTTGACAGATTAAATGGTGTTTGACCTGTGTTCTGGTGTTGACAGATTAAATGGTGTTTGGCCTGTGTTCTGGTGTTGACAGATTAAATGGTGTTTGACCTGTGTTCTGGTGTTGACAGATTAAATGGTGTTTGGCCTGTGTTCTGGTGTTGACAGATTAAATGGTGTTTGACCTGTGTTCTGGTGTTGACAGATTAAATGGTGTTTGGCCTGTGTTCTGGTGTTGACAGATTAAATGGTGTTTGACCTGTGTTCTGGTGTTGACAGATTAAATGGTGTTTGACCTGTGTTCTGGTGTTGACAGATTAAATGGTGTTTGACCTGTGTTCTGGTGTTTGACAGATTAAATGGTGTTTGACCTGTGTTCTGGTGTTGACAGATTAAATGGTGTTTGACCTGTGTTCTGGTGTTGACAGATTAAATGGTGTTTGGCCTGTGTTCTGGTGTTGACAGATTAAATGGTGTTTGACCTGTGTTTCTGGTGTTGACAGATTAAATGGTGTTTGGCCTGTGTTTCTGGTGTTGACAGATTAAATGGTGTTTGACCTGTGTTCTGGTGTTGACAGATTAAATGGTGTTTGGCCTGTGTTTCTGGTGTTGACAGATTAAATGGTGTTTGACCTGTGTTCTGGTGTTGACAGATTAAATGGTGTTTGACCTGTGTTCTGGTGTTGACAGATTAAATGGTGTTTGACCTGTGTTCTGGTGTTGACAGATTAAATGGTGTTTGACCTGTGTTTTGGTGTTGACAGATTAAATGGTGTTTGGCCTGTGTTCTGGTGTTGACAGATTAAATGGTGTTTGACCTGTGTTCTGGTGTTGACAGATTAAATGGTGTTTGACCTGTGTTCTGGTGTTGACAGATTAAATGGTGTTTGACCTGTATTCTGGTGTTGACAGATTAAATGGTGTTTGACCTGTGTTCTGGTGTTGACAGATTAAATGGTGTTTGACCTGTGTTCTGGTGTTGACAGATTAAATGGTGTTTGACCTGTGTTCTGGTGTTGACAGATTAAATGGTGTTTGACCTGTGTTCTGGTGTTGACAGATTAAATGGTGTTTGACCTGTGTTCTGGTGTTGACAGATTAAATGGTGTTTGGCCTGTGTTCTGGTGTTGACAGATTAAATGGTGTTTGGCCTGTGTTCTGGTGTTGACAGATTAAATGGTGTTTGACCTGTGTTCTGGTGTTGACAGATTAAATGGTGTTTGACCTGTGTTCTGGTGTTGACAGATTAAATGGTGTTTGTGACCTGTGTTCTGGTGTTGACAGATTAAATGGTGTTTGACCTGTGTTCTGGTGTTGACAGATTAAATGGTGTTTGACCTGTGTTCTGGTGTTGACAGATTAAATGGTGTTTGACCTGTGTTCTGGTGTTGACAGATTAAATGGTGTTTGACCTGTGTTCTGGTGTTGACAGATTAAATGGTGTTTGACCTGTGTTCTGGTGTTGACTGATTAAATGGTGTTTGACCTGTGTTCTGGTGTTGACAGATTAATGGTGTTTGACCTGTGTTCTGGTGTTGACAGATTAAATGGTGTTTGACCTGTGTTCTGGTGTTGACAGATTAAATGGTGTTTGACCTGTGTTCTGGTGTTGACAGATTAAATGGTGTTTGACCTGTGTTCTGGTGTTGACAGATTAAATGGTGTTTGACCTGTGTTCTGGTGTTGACAGATTAAATGGTATTTGACCTGTGTTCTGGTGTTGACAGATTAAAAAACAGAATCTTAGAACTGGAGGAGGACTTTAAAATATCAGAGGGCAAACTGAGACATGCTGTCGTCTCCAAAGGAGATGATGTGGATATTGTGAAGCAGAAACTGCAGGTAAGACTGAAATCCTCTTATATGCATTGTTATTATTGAAATTTAATTTTGTATTTGCATCTTTGTGGTAACAGATTGTGTATCTTATTAAAGAATGATGAGCATCTTCATTTAACCCTGTCCCTCTAGACACTTTTTAAAAAAAAAAGTCAGGATCCTGTGTACATTTTTATTTTAAATCTTTAAAAAAAAAGTATTGATACAGGTCACTAATAAATTGTTACTTATATTTTTACATTTGAAAATAAATTTCCCAAATATATTAAGGCAATAATTAATGAAGATGAATGGAGTGATGCATTCTCTGGGCCCTAAAGAAATATGCATTAGGTGAATTATACCTTTACCCCTGACCTTGTTGGAATTCTATAACTGCTGACAAATTATGATACAAATACACAAGACCTCCCGCCCCACCACAGGATGCTGTATTGTAAATGTATCTTGAAGTGCTAAATGCAACACAGCCAATGGCAATAACTAGGCTTCTCAGGAACAAGCCACTATAGCAAGTCGGTAAAGCAGGGGATTGGACACACTCAGAATTAAGGGTTTTGTAGCTTCTTAGGGTGACAGCAGGATGTAAAAGCCCTCTAGTGTTTCACAAGGAAAAAAAATCCAGAGAGTATTAGGAAAAACACTCTCTCTCTCTCTCTCTCTCTCTCTCTCTCTCTCTCTCTCTCTCTCTCTCTCTCTCTCTCTCTAACCCTCCTTCTCTCTTTCTCTCTCTCACTCTCTCTCTCACTTTCTCACTCTCTCTCTCACTCACTCACACGAATACATGCACACACGGATGCTCTCACTCACACACATGCACTTACACACACACATATACACAAAGGTGATTAGAGACATGAATGATAAGAAAAGGGCAAAGAAGGCACTAACTGAGACAGCTAAAAATTAGACATGATTGTGTGTGATTGTTGAGCCTATGCTGTCATAAGGTAAAAAAAAAGAGAAGATGACGACTAGCTTTAAACTACAGAAGGGAAAAAAAGGGGGGGGGGCAGGGGGGTTCTTTTTATCATCCCATATTATAAAACTGTATTTCTATCTAAACACTTTGCTCCTTTGTTGTTAAATGAATGCAGGAAGTGCAGCATAAAAATGCAGTTTTGAAAGAGCAGCTAAATGAAGAACGAGCCAAAAAAAACTCTGAAATCGATGACCTGGAGATGAAGTTAGGGTAAGTCTCATGTTAAACATAGACCTGGAGATAAAGTTAGGGTAAGTCTCATGTTAAACATAGACCTGGAGATGAAGTTAGGGTAAGTCTCATGTTAAACATAGACCTGGAGATAAAGTTAGGGTAAGTCTCATGTTAAACATAGACCCGGAGATGAAGGTAGGGTAAGTCTCATGTTAAACATAGACCTGGAGATGAAGGTAGGGTAAGTCTCATGTTAAACATAGACCTGGAGATGAAGGTAGGGTAAGTCTCATGTTAAACATAGACCTGGAGATGAAGGTAGGGTAAGTCTCATGTTAAACATAGACCTGGAGATGAAGGTAGGGTAAGTCTCATGTTAAACATAGACCTGGAGATGAAGGTCGGGTAAGTCTCAGATGAAGGTAGGATAAGTCTCATGTTAAACATAGACCTGGAGATGAAGGTCGGGTAAGTCTCATGTTAAACATAGACCTGGAGATGAAGGTAGGGTAAGTCTCATGTTAAACATAGACCTGGAGATGAAGTTAGGTTAAGTCTCATGTTAAACATAAATAATGCAGCAGGTTTGCTTGAGATTAGGATCTGCTAGTTTGATTTTAGTTTGTATAACTCTTGTTTATTTCTGTCTTGCATCGGCATTTTTGAGGCATAATGGCTCAAATGTGAAGGAGTTCCATCACCAGCTCAGAAAATGCACTGGCTAAGTTTAGATATTGATAAGTGTTGCAGAATACAAAAACTGAGGATGTTGTACTTCCTTCTGATCTCAAGGTAGTACATTTACCTTTTTGCATTAATCACGGTGAGGTTAGCCAAATGTCTTTCTTCTCAACATGGTACTGTAATACCTTCTCTACAGGAACTGTGCAGCAGTGTATCTCCTCCCCCAGTCCTCAGTCCCTGTAATATCTAACCTGAATATAATGTTCAGACTAACTCTGAACTGGGGGAAAAATAGTGAATTGACATGGTCGTGTGGCTTTGGACTATACTAACTTGATGGTGAACCATTTGTTAACAGAACTAAAAAAAAAAAGGAGAAGTTCGCTCTTGTCGCAGCACCCCCAAAAGTTTCCCTTTCTGAAGCCACTTCTCCAGCCCTGTGTGTTTTGATAGCCAATCAGTTTTTCAATGTCTTTATCCACCTTCATGGAGTTCTGCCTCTGAACTGTTTACTGGAAACTGTATCCTCCATCACCACCTTCTCCAGGCCACCGTGATATTTAACATGGCCAGTTTACAGGACCAGATGATATTTATGAGCCAATTCTCCTCTGTGTTCAGATCATCTAGGACATTCATGTTTTTACTTCTTCTTAGTCCATGGTATTCTAAGAATTCTTTTTCTGAAGCAAACAGTAGTAATGCTGAATATTGTAAGAAGCTTTGAAGAAAAGTTGGCATGTGACTGGCTGCCTCATCCTGTAAATAACTGTCAGTCTGGAGCAAGTCTACATAGGGCCTATTGAGAGTTGGCTAAGGGCCTTTACTTCCATAGGAGAAAAAAAAAAGTCAGATATGTATCCTTTACATTCAGCAGTTTGCCATTGCCTTCTGAATACTAGGAGATTCACCACATAACAAAATCTGAAGAAGCATTGTTTGGCTGTGTTTTCACAGATCAGCAGAATATGAAGTGCAGCAGCTGAAAGAGATCTTAAGAAATAAAGACTTTGGTGTGTCAGATATACAGTCACAGGTAAGGACTACACAGTGCACACTTGAAACTGTTATTCCACACATGTGTGTCTGTTATCTACTCTTTTATATCACAGACACTTTCATTCTATCTATCCCAGACAACTGTTTTAATTCTTTATATCCCAGACAGCTGTTTTAATTCTATATATCCCAGACAGATGTTTCAACTTTATCTGTCCCAGACAGCTGTTTTTATTCTTTATATCCCAGACAGCTGTTTTAATTCTTTATATCCCAGACAGCTGTTTTAATTCTTTATATCCCAGACAGATGTTTTAACTTTATCTGTCCCAGACAGCTGTTTTAATTCTTTATATCCCAGACAGCTGTTTTAACTTTATCTGTCCCAGACAACTGTTTTAATTCTTTATATCCCAGACTGCTGTTTTAATTCTTTGTATCCCAGACAGCAGTTTTAATTCTTTATATCCCAGACAGCTGTTTTAACTTTATCTGTCCCAGACAACTGTTTTAATTCTTTATATCCCAGACAGCTGTTTTAATTCTTTATATCCCAGACAGCTGTTTTAATTCTTTATATCCCAGACAGCTGTTTTAACTTTATCTGTCCCAGACAACTGTTTTAATTTTTTTATATCCCAGACACCTGTTTTATCTGTCCCAGACAGCTGTTTTAATTCTCTATATCCCAGACAGCTGTTTTAACTTTATCTGTCCCAGACAGCTGTTTTAATTCTTTATATCCCAGACAGCTGTTTTGATTCTTTGTATCTCAGAAAGGGATTTTAACACCCTCCCTCCTGACTGTATGCCTTACTTCCTTGAATATTTTAATTACAAACTCCAACCAGTCATGAAGAACCTTGAGAATGTAACAGTTGGAAAGACTATTCAAAGTGGTGAAGATGTTGTTTTATAGACAAATGAGGAGAACACCCTGGACAGATAAAAAGAGTAATGATGATGTCTTGAAAGACATTGACTCAAGAGGAGAACTGATTGCCCACGTCAGAAGGAGCCAATCTACATTTTTAACAGTATTATCAGAAGGTGAATACTGGAATACATTGTGATGGTGGGTAAGTTGGCGGGGAGAAGGGGCATAGGATGACCGAGAGAGTAGATGCTGGACAGTTTGACATCTTGGCATGGAGGATCATCTGTGTTAGAATTTGCTGAAAGTACATGAGACAGAAGATTGTATATAGACATGACTACCAACACCAAACGGCATGGACTGTAAGAAAAAGATTTGAAAGACCCTGCTAATTTGCCTGTTGGAAGAAACCCTGATGTTGTAATTATTGGAAAGAACCCTAATGCTGTAACTTATAGACTCCTAATGATGTGCTGGATAGAAAGAACTAAGGATATACCCTGCTTTCCTCTTGTGTGTTCCATTCCTCATCTTGGGCAGAACAAAAAAGAATAGACCTCTTGTCCCTCTAAAAGAGGTGTTTCCTTCGAAGTCAGAGTGCATCTGCCTGAGAGGTGAAGAACCAACAGTCTGCTACAAATCAGTCAGATCTATAAAATGGATGCACACTTAAAACTCAAGTTCTGGAACGAGACCAAAGTCCAGAAATGGGCAAAAAACCAGACCTGTCCTGTATTTTCAGCTGGTGAATGCTAAAAAGAAGAAAAATATTACAATGCTTTACAATTTCCGATAAAAGTTCAGATTGGTGGGAAGAAGGATGAACTGCTAACATAAGCTTTAACCATTTCTCCCCATAAATGTTAAACAAATGGGTAGTAATCCCATTGGAATACCCTGGAAAAAAATTATTTCAAATTTACATGCATCAATAATACATTTTTTAAGAGAAATTTTTGTATAGTTAGTTTTGAAATATATATACAAGGGATAATCAGTAAACTTGAACAGATTGAGGCATTAAATGGAATACATTCTGTAGACCTAAAACAATATGTTTCGGTTGACTAATGCCAAGATCCCTTGACCTCTGTCACTGAAGCTTACAGGAACATATGACATCCACTTAGCTTTTTGTTGAAAACCATTGGGGTAATAAGGAAACTCCTCTGAATGCCGTTTTTAGTTGCTGTATTCATATCCTGGCCTATGATGCCACAGGTGCCTCATAGATCAAATATAAAATTTATGGGACTGTGTCACAGCCAGAAGTGACTAATTTTAGTCTTTTCTGGTGACAGGGTTAAAGAGAATTCATTTGTTAATAGCCAGTTGAACAAGAGAGTTGGACAAGCTGAGACAGTTTTAAAAAGCGATAAAAATGACTGAATAAATTATTGCCATTCTGAGATTATTTAATCAACTCTTGCAGCTGGCAGAGAAATCAAAAGAGGCGGAAGCTTGGCAACAAAAATTCAACGAGGCTTGCAGCAGTCACAAGGACATGAAGAAGAGATTGGATGGTCTTCAGCGATACTTGGATGAGCTACCAACTGTTGAAGAAAGCAGGCTGCAGGCTCAGCAGGTACTTGCCAATGAATTCTATATGTGAATGCCAGTATCCTGTGTGTTCCATGTTTCTGCCAATATATCACATCATCATCAAGTGCCTTGTCGACTGGTGTGGGCAACAATGCCTTTCCACAATCTGCGATCTTCAACAGGGTGTATCAGTTAGTGTGTTGACACCCCTCCATGCTGTTAACAAAATCTGTCAAGAATCTTCTTATGTTATCTTCCTCTGTCTTTTTTTCCACAGATCTATCTAGTGGTCACAGAATGTTCCGGTTTCCCTCTTCTCATTACATGACTGACCATGCCTGATGTTTGTCATAAGTTCTTCTTTGTTCACCGACTATAAGCTGTGGTGGAAAGTCCTGGTTGTTCGTCCATCTGGACTTTAGTTTTGTGCCAGGGCCTGAGTTCTGCGTGTACACCTGTTTTACTGGCTTATTGGTGTGCAGTTTAGTGGACTCCTAAGACATGCTTGTTGGGCAGGCAGTGGATCTTTTCTTGTTTTCTCCACAATGGGGCCCCGAACCCCCACAGGGATGTCATAGGTTGTCTTTGCGCCTTTGCTTCTGTCAGATCATCCGGGTTGTTACTTTTTGGCTGTTCAAACATTTCTAAGGATTCTTCTGTAAAACCACTTCTCAGAGGCCTTAAGATATTGTCTAGCTTGTTTATTAGTTGTCCAGGATTTACTGCCATGTATTACAACTATCTTTACATAGCATGCAAGAATTCCTTTTCTTAACCGTCAGTAACGTTGACTTATTGCCTAAAATGTTCTTCATTTTGGCCTGTCCTATTCAGTACTTTATTTCTCTGATACATTTTGTATCGAATGTAATTATTTAATTTCTGTACTCGTCCTAAAATAACACTTTTGATTTTAATTATACATTTAGGCACTCTTCATTTCTGTGATATTACCATTACTTCTTCTTCCTGTTATTCAGGCTGAGGCCTTTGTATCACTTTCTACCCCCACTGTATTTATCAACCCCTAAAGTCAGTCACATACACATGTACTGTGTATTGCATGTACTGTATATGCCACATGTACTTATCTGTGCACAGTATGTAACATGTTTTTAACTTCATATAAATCTGATTTCACTAGCTGTATTAAAACACTGACAAATGAAGAAGTTTTGAAAAATATATATAACCAAGCAAAAAGACTTCTTAAAGTAATTAAAACGGGAAAATTATTATTGTTTGGTGACACTCTAAAACTTGAAGAAATAACAAAGAGAACAGTGAAGGGCACAGTACTGGGGAAAGGAGAAAGGGTAGAAGTAGGACAGTATTTATTCAACAGCCGTGTTTAGATCTGTCAGTGCAGTGGGTTTGCATCTGAACCATAATTTCTGCTGAATTGTTTTTTTTTTAAATTGAGCTTGGCTTCTGGGCTAACCCAGCTTAAAACTGGTACCAGGGTAATACCTTGGGAAGTAAAGACAGCTGGCATGAATGATGTTAGTTACATCAACCATTGAGTGCTGACTCAGTGATGTCACAGTACAGGTTCACTCCCGTACACCTGATGCATTATTGGTGTGAGAAAGATCCTTTGCTATTTTATCCTAACCTCACAAAACACATAAATTGATCACATTTCATGACTTTTCTCTGCCTCTGTAACTTGTAAGTTTGTTTTTTCTTCTTCTTCTTCTTCTTCTTCTTCTTCTTTTTATCTTCCTCTCTTACTACTTCAGGGGTTAATGGAGTTATAAGGTTCTGTGTCTTGCTTTATGGCCGCCTCTCCTATAGACACTTCATGCTTTTTTAGTTTCTTTAATATTTTCATCTTGCCCCTAGTCTAACATGTCCTCTACAACCTTCTTCTCTTTTAGTGTATACCTTGCATGTTTGACATCACAAAACATTTTCTCAGAGTAGGCAGACCATTTGATTTAATATCTTTGTATGTAATTTAGGATTGGTTCTGTGCCGAAATATTCCTTTTTGTGACCTCATTCTTGATTTGATCTCTTCTGGTCACTCCTGCAGCACTTCTTAGACATCTCATTTGCATAGTTACTAATTTGCTATTCTGGTTTGTTGTGAGTGACCGGGTCTGGCACTGGTAGCATGGAATGGGAGTGAATATGCTCTGTATGTTTCTTTGTGCTGATCAGGTTTGCCTTATGCACTTAGAACGCGTTTAGCTGTCCCAATACTTGGTTTACTTTGTTGCATTTGATGATAATTTGACTTTGTTATCACAGATCTTATCTCTCAGAGAAGAAAATGTTGCACTGAAAGCTAAGTCAGAAAGTCAAGAGAAGAAACTCATTCAGGCGAGGAAGATTATTACAGGAAGGGACTTCAGAGTTCGAGAGCTGGAGGAGCAGCAGCAAGATCTGGAGAAGAAGGTGAATATGTAAATGTGGTCATGTTGTGTCGTGGTTGCACATTGTGAAGATAACACTGGTATCATGATGTGTTGCATTGGGCTCCTCCATAGTCTTTATAACTTATATATGTATGTTGTGTGTAGTTTAAAATGCACGTTTACTTATGTTTGTCTCTAGGTCTGTTCACCCAGTGTATAGATGTTAATATTCTGTTTGTCTGACCCTGTCTATCTTTGCCTGTTCACCCAGTGTATAGATGTTAATTTTCTGTTTGTCTGACCCTGTCTATCTTTACCTGTCCATTCATTGTCTATAGGTTGTGATTGCATTTGTTAATGTCTAATCCTGTCTGCATCTCTGTGACTGTCCACCAATGCAAATATGTGTCTGTATTTGTCTAAATGTCTAGTCCTTTCTGTGTGTCTTCCTATTTACATCTTAGAATCTGTCTAAATGTTTTTCTGTTTTAATATTTTAAAAAGTTGGTTATGTGTTTACAATATTCACTGAAAATTTGCCTATCAGATTAAAGAGCTGCAGCTTGAAATTGACCGCTTGCGAGATGGTGAAGGATCTGAGCTATATAATACCCAGAAAAGTTTGAAAGATGCCAAGGCTGATAAAGAACGATTGGCCATTGACTTAGAAAAAGCAAAGAAGGTGAGAATAGTTTTTTCTAAATATCTTTTGTCATTTTATTTTACTCTTCTCTGAAAACTGCAGTTACAGCATTTAGATTCTATGTTTTTACACACTCACACCACACACACAATTATACGAAATAATGTGAGTTATGAGTTGGATTATGTTCACAGCACTTCAGACACATCCATAGGTGCTTAGATCCCCCCTTCAACATATTCATCAGGGTCGCACAGTTAATGGTACCAGTCCTATGCTGGTTGACAAGACTTTGTGTGTGTCCCATTTGCTTCTCATGCTTGGCTGTGTCGATCTTTACTCCTAGTTCTCATATTCTTAGCAATGATGTGGACGCAAGAGTTAATGTATGTTTGTGTGTGCACACTTTCAGAACTACCTAGGAACAAAGTTTAGTTTCCTAAAGTGTTAAGGCTCAGTCAGTTCTAGTCCATGATTCGAGGTGGAGTCACTACTTCCCTTTCTCATGCGATTCCCTTCTCTGAGAATTGCAAGAAAATACTAAAGTTTTACACCCATGTTTATAAGTCTGTGTCAGCACAAGGAATGTGGTATGTAAAAAAAAAACATAAACAATCAGCCTGCTTTTGCCAGTGAAAGACAGCAGACACATGCACTGACTACTGAGTCTGAAATGTTGAGCTGAGAACTGACATTACAGCCCTTAGGCATTCGGGCTATCCTCTGAATAACAGCCACATATTATGGCCAAAAGCACACAATGACAGAGCCTCATTAGGTCGTGTGTTGTAAACATTCCTAAAACTTGAGCTCAAAAATAATCAGGAACGAAAATAAACGGAAAATAAAATCGACTACTTACCGATAATTTTACGTCTTTATATGTGAAAATTGTTGAACAGAAGTTGCAGATAGTGCCCGATATCTGCTCTTTGTGGCTGTGCCGCTACTGGAACTCCACCAAATAACTCCGCTTGTCCCCGATTGGTAGCGCAGTCTTCATTTTAGCAGCAACCACAGCCACCCAATGGTTTGCGTGTGAACGTCATTGTCTGCGCTGCGGACCAAATTAGTACTATGCACTACCATCACGTGATAGTAAACGCCATTTTTTAACTTGCCAGTGCAAATCTGCAAGCAAAGTCATATCTCAGAGTAGCTGCAGACAAGAAGCACATCCTGCATTAAGCTTTAAGTAGAGCTAAGGGTCACAGACTAACAAGAGGAAGGTCTTGGATGGCGCAAGCTGAAGACACAATTGGACATGTGTGCAGGCTTGATAAATTTGGGCGAAGAGAGTAGTGGGTCACAGTGTCCAAGCAAGTTTAAGACCTGTGTAGGGTTTTAATCACTTTAGATCGGGAGTGCAGGGACTGGCCAGCTGGTGCTGCAGAATTAGAAGTTAAACAAATTATTCATGACAATTCCCGCCCAGGTGACGTGATTATTTATACAGATGGTTCTGTGGTGAGGGGCAGATGAAGTGCATGGGGGTTTATAGCAAAAGCCAATGGACGACACTTAGTTAAAAAAAAAGCCTTGCATATGATATCACAACGTTTAGTTTGAGAATGGAGGTGGATGCAGTCACTGCTGCCTTCCACTGGCTTGAGAATCAGCTGTACACACATGTCATGATGGTAAGTGACTCACAGAGCATGTTGAGAAAGGTAGACAGGCATGCTCCGTGCAGAGTGACAAGCATCACTTTAGAGGTCCTGGGTAGTTAGCATCCTTTTGATATCTTCTCCAGGTCATGCCAGTGTGTTGGGAAATGAGCAGACAGACTGGCTGGCTCTGCAACACTTGGTAGTGAATTGGTGTGTGACGAGCTAGATATTATGAGGGCCCTTTGGAACGAATGAACAGTGGAGAGGTACAGATAGATCATTGCAGTCTGAGGAGAATAGTGCTACGAGGAGTTATCTGGCAGACGCTCCACAGTCAGGGAAAGGGCGAGACGGATCTACGATCAGTTACTAGTGCCATCGGAAATGGAACTCTTTGTTTGCTGCTGAAGATGGTTACAGAGCACTTATGGGAGTGTCTCGAGTGCTGTGCTGTTGATTCCTAATTCAACATTTAATCTTCTCTTCCATCTCTTTCCCCCACCCTATGTTTCTTCTTCTCCTCCTCCTCCCCATTTTTGGCTGGTGCTCTTCCTTCTTCTGATATGTTCCTTTCTTCCTGGACCATTTTCTGCTCCACATTCATGGTTTCTAGTCTCAGATTTGAACATTAAAAAATGACATTCATTGAAAATCCTGCTTTGTAGTTGTAAATACTGCTTTGTAATTAGCCTTAGACTAATTATATGTTATATTAGAGTATTATTAAATTAGAGCTTGCTTCTTCTACATTTGACGTCAGCCATAGTAACCATTTAGTATTGTCATGATTACAAACAGGATGATATGTATAAGGTTCCCCACTGCTTGTCTTGTAATGAACCTCTGCTGGGCCAGATTCCTAATCGCTACCTGGAGTAGTTAGGAAAAATTTATTTTTCTTGTCTGGCTCATTGTAGCCATGATTGTTGTTGTTGTTATCGATCCAGCGGCGCATAAGCTTTCGCCCTTTGGCCCAATGCCATGTAGTGGAATTTGCATGTTTTCACAAGCTGTTCTTTTCCTCCGTACAAGGTGTTCCACTTGTCTGGTCTCGGAGGGAGTAGCGTTCTTCTTGTCTCACTGAGTTTTGGGCACTCAAAGAGATGGTGTTCAACAGTTTCGTAGGGGTAGTTACATAGCTGGCACTCTGGGGAGTGTTGTGGCTGCATTCTGTTTAGGTGTCCATTGAGTGGAGTATGTTGCGTTCTAAGTCTGAAGATGGTGGCCTGGTCCCTTTTTGTTAGATGGTTAATGCTGTCATTAGGATCAGGGCCAGACATATGTCTATAAACCTCTCTTCCAGTGTCTCCCATGGCCCATCTGTTCAACCAAGTCTCTTTGTTTATAGCTCTTATCAGTGTTTTTGCTGTCTGGAGGGTTGTCGCTGTAGGTGGTTGTTCTTGTGTTGCTCCTTTCTTTGCCAATCTGTCAGCTCTGTCATTACCTGGTGTGCCGGAGTGACCTGGAATCCACTGCATCACTATTCTGATGTTGTATGAGGTAATAAGCTGATCAGCATCCAGGATTATCTTGGCTATGTCAGTTCACTGCCCTCCAGAGCTTGAAGGGCAGACATTGAATCTGTGAAGATGACAGTATTTCGGACCTTTGAAGGGTAAACATCCATTACAGGCTTTAGGTGGTATACTGCTGTTTCCAGTGCAATTATTTCAGCTTCATAGTTTGAACAGAATTCCCAGCATGCATCAAAAATCTCTTCAACAGATCCATCGGGATAACCTATGTAGATTCCGTAACCTGCTTTAATGGTAGCTTTAAATGCTGATCCATCAGTATAGACATGTATCCATTCTTGGGGGTAAGAATCAACGGTCTCTAGTGATGAGTTCATAAGAGCGATTGGGTCGGACTGTTTGGTTTCCGCGCCTACCAATTTAGTTCGGACTTCTGGAGCTTTAAAGCGAGCATGTGGTGGTAGGTTTCTTGCAACATTCTGAATTCCTTGACGTCTTTCTGGGAGGTGGTATCTGTCCTGAATTTCATTAACACAGTGTAAAACCGATTTGTGCTTTATTCTTTGTTTGTATTCCCAGTTTTCTACAAGATGTCTATTAGAATGGTTACGATTTTTCCTAACGCATCTTTCATAAATTTCTAAAGTGGCTTTTTCTCTCCGCAACCCTAGGGGTTCCACATTTGTATGGATTTCACATGCAGCAGTTGGTGTAGACTGGATAGCTCCGCAGATTAATCGGAGGGCATTATTTTGTACTCTGTCAAGAGTCTCTAGGTTAGTTTCGGAGCAAGTTGTAAGCAGTGAGTTGTTGTACTCTATCACAGAGCGAACATATCCTAGATAAAAGCCCCTCAGAATTTCCTTGTCTGAGCCCCATGATGTACCTGCAAGTCTCTTTAATAACTGTAACCGCCTCAATGCCTTATTCCTGGTGTTTTCAATATGGTTCTTGAGGCTGAGCTGCCAGTCAAGTCTGACTTTTATGTGGGATGCTCTTCTTTCATCACTTGGTGTTTGTCTAACCTCAGGTTAATATTCTTCCTTGCTACTTGGTGGCTTTTGGTAAAGATTGTGTAGACCGTCTTTGCACAGTTAACCTTGAGTTTCCATCTTTGGCAGTACTCGTGCAGTCTTTGGGCTCCACTTTCCACATTTTCATGACTCTGCCATATTGCTAGGTCATCAGCGTACAAGGCTTTTTCGGCCTTGATTTGTTCTGGCAGGTCATTGATAAAGATTAGGAATAGTGTACAGCTCAATGATGAGCCTTGTGGCAAGCCCTCCTCCAAGACTTCTTTAGAAGAGATTGCTTTGTGCATCTTAGTCTGGATTGTTTTATCTATCAGGAAGTATTTCACCCAGTTATACAATCTGCCATGTAATCCTATGCTCATCATCTTCATCAGGAAACCTTTTCTCCATACTCTGTCATAGGCCTGCTAGAGGTCGACAAAGACTGCCACTGTGTGTTTCTTATTCTGGAAGCCATCATGTATTCTTTGTGTCAGTCTGAACAGCTGGTCTTCTGTGCAGCTGTTGGTTCTGAAGCCTGCCTGTTCATGGCATAGAACACCAGAACTCTCAAGGAACCAATATAAGCGCCTGTTTATCATTCTTTCTGCAACTTTGCCCAAGCTTGATGTTAAGGATATCAGGCGGTAGCTTTTGGGGTCATCTGGAGGCTTTTTGGTTTTAAGAATGGGGACGATATATGCATTCCTCCATGCCTTTGGAAGTTTGCTTGACCTCCAAGTTTTATTAATAGGCCTGAGAACTACTTCTCTCCCAGACCGGCCAAGATGTAGCAGCATTTCGTTGTGGATCTTATCTGGGCCTGGAGATTTTCTAGGTTTTAATTTCTTTAGGGCTTGCTCTAATTCATCCATGCTAAATTCATTTTCAAAAAGGGAGTCGCTGGCTGTTGGAGAACCAACCCTCTTGTTTCTTCAACTGAGAGAGCTGTGTTCTATTGAGTTCTGACAGCTTACCTGCTCTGTTAACTGAGGCAAAATAATGATTGAAATGTTCTGCTTTCTTCTTGTCTTCAGTGATTGTCTTACTCCCATCTGTCATTGGTTTTGGGTTCACCCTTCTACTTTCTCCGGAGAGGTTTTTAACTAAAGTCCATGCTTTATTTCCATTCTGTCTAAGGTCTAAGTTGGAGCAAGTTTCTGTCCATTTATCTCTTTTGGCCTTATTAACTACAAGCTTTACTCTGGCACATGCTTTATTGTATTGGATCTTTGCTTCTGTTGAATGTGCAGTTTCGAGCAATATTCTTGCTTTATTCCTTTCAGATATAGTATTTTGAATTTCTTGATTCCAAAAAGGTTTATATGCCTTCCGGCTGTCCCTTGGGATGGCTTTCGACGCTGCATTCAGGATTGCTTGTGTTATGTCTTCACAAAAAGTTTCCACACAGCTGTTGTCAATTCTTCCCAGGAGGCAGTCAGATGTTTCCTGAAATAGTTTCCAGTTTGCTTTTCGGAAATTCCAACGGGTTCTCTGCTTGAAGCGTATTTTAGCGGTGGTGCTTACAGTTGTGAGTATAGGTTTGTGGTCACTTCCTATGTCGTCCAGGACTTGGGGATAGCTTGCGTCTGCTAAGTCGGATGAGCAGATGGTCAGGTCTGGTCGGCTGAGAGATAGGTGGGCCCTGTGTAACAGTGTAGGTGTAGACTCTGTGTCCTGCAGCACTAATAGGTTAGTTGTTTCACAAGTATCTTCGATGTATTTCCCTGTGCTATTGTAGTCAGGGTAACCCCAACGTGGCGAGTGTTCGTTGAAGTCACCAACAAGAAGGGTTTTATGGTACTGTGTCTTGTATAGTTCTGGTATGTTGCATGTTGTCTGAGGTGGGCTGTACATGTTGTATATCGTATATTTGCTTCCATTGTGCCAGATAGTTATTTTTTGAACATCTGTAGGGTGAGATGTCGACAGCATTGTTACATCTCCTTGTATGTCATTTCTGATATAGGTCATTATGCCCCAGCAGTCATTGCACTTACAGGCATAACTAGTATATCCAGTGAGATGCAGATCAGAGTCTTTATGCAGGGTTTCTTGTAGGGCAGCCACGTGTACCCTGTGGTTGTTTAGCAGTTTGGCAAGTTCAAGTTTCTTATTTCTTATTCCACAGATGTTCAGCTGCAGAATATTGAGCATCTGTGTATTTTTTGCTGTGCTGTCTGAGTTCTCTTTGCTCTCCCTCCCACTCTTCCTCCTCCTGGGGTGTCTGGTTTTCCTATTTATCTCAAATTTTCCAGTAGCCAATTTTTCGCACATGACAGCCTGGTTTCCCACTGTCTGGCGCGGGCCTTGATAGACGAGGCGACGACCGATCTCGTATGTATTCTTAAATTTTGACATATTCATGACATTGTGGTGCTGGGGTGTCTGTGGATTACCTACCTCCCCGGGCAACAGCTAGAAATGCCCTGTACCAGTTCTAAAGGAAATATGGGTTGTGTTTCTGCCTTCCCCTTTAACACGCAGTTAAGGTGGGGCTCACAGTGTGCTCATTCCCCGCCACCAGATTACCTGCAGGTTTCGCTGAGCTCTTTGTGGCTCTAAGCATGAGTAGTTGGGGCAACTGGATCGTCACGTCCTGAGTCCCTGTGCCTTCACGATAGTTTCCGGTATTCAGGGGGGTTAGCATACTTGTTTCCATTCCTAAGACTGTTCAGCACACCTCTGGCTCCTTCCCTCCCACAGGGGGCAGTACGGTGTGGTGCACCGGGTTTATTATCGAGGTTTGCTCTTCTAGATCCATTGTGTTTTGCCTGGGGATTCGCACCCCCAGTTACCAGGACTACCTCGGGGAGGCTGTGACTCTTCGCCACGCACAATGGTAAGAGAGGTTTTGCTAGGTCAAGAGGCTGACACCACAATGGACGCTCCTTTTGTGAACAGATATTCACTAGACCTATGGTGAAGTAAGGGGGGGGGGGGAACCCACTACCCACAACACCAACACTTCTTACCCCCTGCCTCTCGAGGCTCAGTCCCTCCATGATTGTTAAACTTATTAACGAGAGGATAACACTGAAACTTCGAGCTATGAAGTTAGATTTTATGTTGCAGTAGGGGGTAGGGACTTGCGTAGATGAAAAAGGCATGCTTACTGGTAGCAAGCCCATGATGTGTGTAGAATGAACAACAACAAAATTGTTTTTTTTTAAAAGAACTAATCCAGTGTTATCTGTGCAGCTTCTGGAGACGACCCATGTCAAACTGAGGCAGCAGGAAATAAAACACCAGTCAGAACTGAGAGCTGCCCAGGAAAGGCTGACACTAGAGGAGCAGAATGTGGTGTCTCTGAGGGCAGAAGTTGCCAGCAAAGAAGAGCACATTGAGAAGATGTCCAGATCTTTGAAGGAGGTATGTTTATGTTTAGATTTATTATTTTAATCTATTTGCTAGTCTTTCTGGTGTTTCATTCCATCCGTCTGTCCCTCCTTGTCCTGCCGGTCTACAAACCTATCTACGCTGCTTACTCACAAATCCACCTGCAACTGTTCACCTGTTACCTACTTATCTTGTTTTTAAAAGGAGTAGAAAATTATAGGGAAGAGAAAAAGTTAGTGAGAAACAACAAATAGTTTATGTTAGCTTTACAAAATCGATCACAATAAACAAACAAAGGACGTTGCGGCGATTAGCCTTCATCAGCACATAAAGGACAACACAGTACACATACACAAATAGGCTCTAACTATGAAGTGACTACATAGGACTCTAATGTATAAAAAAATGATACTCATCTGTGTCCCTGGCGAAAAAACATTTACAATGAAATGACGGTCAGCCTATATATCTCAAACGCGCAGGTGGGGGGAAAAAAAGGGGGCGGATTAGACGCCAACAGCGTACACTGAGTATCTAAGGAAGGAGGGAGGGGTTGGCCTATAGGGCGTAACCGGGGTTGGGTTGTGGGGATGACATTAGTCCATCCGCATAGAATAAAAGTGGTGCCTGTGCTTGCAAACAAATATCAGCAGACAGACAGATGGATGGATGGATAGGTAGGTTGGTAGGTAGATAGATAGATTAGATCGTGGATGGTGGGGTGAATGGATGTGTGATCTTGCTACTTTTAAACTCACCTAGTACCTACTTATCTTGCTACTTTTAAACTCACCTGTCATCTTATCTCGATGCATATATATATATATATATATATATATATATATATATATATATATATATATATATATATATATATATATATATATATATATATATATATATATCCCTGCACATCATTCTACCAGCCTAATAACACACCTGCCCACTTAACACACCTGCCCACTTGTTGTGTGTTTGTAATTGCTTGTTTCTAACCTGAACCATCATGTTTGTTAATGATATGTTTCTTCCCTGCAGCTTGGCGTTCGCAACCAGGAACTTCTAGAGCAGTGTCTGCTGGTGAAGGAACAGTTGCGTCACATGGAGGGCAAAAGTGCAGACATCAGCACCGCCCTACAGCGCCGGTTCATGTTAAACTTGAAACTTTGCTTCTCTGAGCTGCAGGCCTTGGTACAGGTTTGCTCTCAGTGTGCTCGAGGAGAGAATCCTGACATGTCTCTCTTGCTGGGTGTGACAAGTGAGTGCTGTCTTGATGACATTAATCTGTATTATCTGCCTTATAGCATATACCTTGAACCACGTTACTCCAAGCCCTTTTATCTTTGGCCATCTGCTGCAGCTCCTCATGTTATTTATTATCGTCTCTAATTTCCTCCTCCATGTGTTTTAGGTGTCCGTCAATTTATTTTACCCTATGGGTTCCAGAGAAAATATATTCTAGTTATGCTGTCAGCCATGTTTTTCAGCATGTGTTCAATCCAGCCAAACATCTTTTTTATCTCTATTTACTAAAATCTTTTTTCCTCTGTTTTTTTTTTAACCCAATTGCCAAATGGTTTGTTTTTTGTGTGTGCTGACATGATGTCTTTGGTCAGTTGCCCCTGCGCTTGTATAACAGCTTTGGTACTGGCTGTAGCCGCATATTCTGTAGACATCATGGGTGGGACAGTGTATGAAAATATATTGTGAAATATTATTTTAAAGGAAAAAAAAAAGATTCTGAGTCACATTTGAAGAGGGAAATAAAAATAGACTCATTTCTCCCCTAACAAGGATGTCATAAAAGCAGATTAATTAGGAGTTTGCTGAAATGGATGTGATGGGCTGAAAAAAGTAGATATCACAGCCTAGCTTTAAACCAACTGCCTCTTAATGGATGACTTAAGAAGAAGAAGAAAAGCTGTATCATGTAATGAGGTACCCATAAATGCATGAGTTAATTGGTACGGAATGAGATAAAGAAAAAAGGAGTTGCTATGGCTGAGATGTTTAATGTGGACTGAGTTAGATAGAAAGCTTTATTGTTTCTCAACATCATGAGGTAGAGCAGCTGAGTTGTTCCCTAGTGGATCTGGCTATGTATGTTAAACCAGTCCAGTCTGGATGAAGGTCTTAGGTTCAGATCTGCACCTGGGTAGATTTAAAAAGTATAATGAACATTGGCTCCCAGGTTGTCCCAGCCTAAAACGGGTACCAAGAACTTTCATGGGAAGTAAAGTTGGCCTGCGTGATGTTAACCACAACACTCCAGTTGCTCTATAAAAAGATGAGTCTAACAATATGCTCAGTGTGTCACTGTTGTTACGAGTATTTACTTACAACAACAACAACAACAACAGTTGTTTAAAAGTTGGTTCTCCTTGAGATAAAAGAAATCTGATGAAATAGATCATGTGTTGCTCTCTTCTGTTGCAGGCCCAGGCAGTGATTTACTCCAGGAGTGTGCTGGAGGTGTTGGACAGGCAGAGTCCTCAGACCCGGCCAAGACAATATCCCACTGGTTGAGTCAGATAGAGCAGCTGAGAAAAGATGTTGACAGACTAAGAGCCCATATATGTAACAAATACGCCGAGGACATGGGAAATAATATCACCTGTGCTACTCAGTAGTTTGTGTTTCCTTCCTGGAAAGGACTTTGTGGGAATTTAAATAAGCAGTATTATTGACTGGCATAGAGATCTGTTTTGTTCTACAAGAGGTAAATTCACAAAGACTTGATGACCTGCAGTATTATTGGCTGGCACAGAGATCTGTTTTGTATTGAGTTCTACAAGAGGTTAATTCACAAAGACTTGATGACCTGCATCACGATCATACAATTGTCATTTTGTGGTCATGTTAGAGGTGAAGAAGTTCCTGGTGCATATGTTTATGTATGTAAATAAAATGTCTGTCTTTAGTTGCTTCATAATCTGCATGGGTCAGAATCCCCATCTGGGTCCCTGGACCCAGTTGTAGGGAAAAGAAAGAGCAGATTGACTGCCTCCATAATAAGCATGTTGTTAGAGTATACAAGTTAGGGGTATCCATCAAAGTCTAAGAGGCAGGGAACCAATATTCTGCATACAGATAAGCTAGATCTGTAAAACAGATGTGCACACAAAAATCAAGTTCTGAAACACGACTTAAGTGGACAAACAACCAGAAATTTCCACTGCAGTTTACAGCCAGTGAACGGGACGAAGAAGAAGATAAGTTTCTGGGTTGACTCAGCCGTATAAATGAAAGATGTTGAGAAAGGGAACTGGTTAACCCATCTTGTTCGTCATGACCTAATATAAGTGGAGGCTACACAATATGGCAGTAGTTGCCATGGGATTACATTTACCTTATTGTTAATCATTTCTTTGACCTCTACTATGATATAAAGATATGTGCAAAGGGGAAATGAATGATACAGGTGTTGAGGTGGACTCGGAACGAAATGCTGTGGATCGTGTTGTGTGGAGGGGGCACATCAGGAAATAATGAGAATGATGGAAGAAAAGATTGCAGAAAGTATGAGAGCTGAGAATAAACCGACTAAACATAAATGTTGATAACATCGGTACCCTAATGTCATTCTACAATTGTGGAAGACTTTTCTTAACGTGGGCGGGTCTTGCTAATCACACTCACCATCACCATGGACTGTGAGTCCCTTGCCTCTTCATAGAGCAATATAACACTATCATCTGGAAAGATGGAAAGGTACCAGTACCAGTCAGTCAACCATTCATTTCTTTGCAAGGCTTCTCAATTTTATTCCTGTGACACTGAAATAAAATACTGTTATGGAATGCTTATAATTGATCTCAACTCATGAAATATGAATGTGTTTCCCTCATGACACGTGTGCTTATAATTTCCCAGTCATAAAAATACACTGCGTGACAGAAATGCATACATATTTGTCTGTTTAGGTGAACTGCGTAAAATATTGCAGGAAGGTTGAATACAACATCTGGTGCTAAAACATGAAAAATGTGCTACTGCTGCTTGGGGTTGCTAAAATCTGTATGTGATGTGGATATTTCTGACCTGCTCGCTTTTTTGTCTAACATTTGTACATGAGTACATTGATGAGCTATTTTTGCTCAAGTTGTATTTGTTCAGTATTAAATGTGATCTTTACTGGCAAGTTTGTTAACATTGCTAGTCATCAAAAATATCCCTTTTAAATGTTCTAGTAGACTTCTATTTTTCTTTCCCACCACAGTTATTTTGCATAATCTTCCTATCACCACATTGTAAGCCATATGTTTGTGGTTAAACTGACAATTGTTGTACTGCTAAAAAAAAAGTAATAATAAATGAACAAACAAAAATAACGATAAATCCGTCCCATTCTATAAAGTATATTGACAATATTTTGTGCATCAGTATTATTGATCTTATTTTGTACAGGTATAATGGATGTTATTTATTGAGACATTCTTCTCATTTGTGTTTATTTATGACAAGTATTCTATTTGTACTTTTCTTGCGGTTTTTTTTTTATATACCATGTCTGGTATAGTTTATTGATCAATGGTGGGTGTCTCATTTAATATTTTTGTGCCCGTAGCTCGGTATTTAAACATTGAAAGAGGAACTAGTAAATTACATTAATAAAAGCAACATTTCCTCATTGTAAGTTTGAACAAAGAAGACGAATAACAGAGTTCATAACCTATTGCTTGGTATATTTTGTTGTATATAGTCTAGAATATACACTAGAATACATACATACATTATAAGTGGGATGTATGCTTATTATTCAGTTAAATGTTTTCATTTTTTTTGGGCTTTTATCTTGTTTAAATACATATTGTGCACAGAAGATGTAATGAAATATGCTAGACAGTAAATTGGGCACTTTGTTTATATCTTCTTTGTTCATAATCGCAGTTACTCAGTGCATCCTGAACGCATTGTTCTAGGTGTTTTACATGCTAATTAGTGGTATAAATTCAGAACATAATGGTGTTTGAATATGGCATAGGAGTGCCCTCTGGACATAACAGATGGAAATACCACTTATTCAATAAGCTTAAGAGAGGAGACACTGATGATTGTCATTGTGGAATTAGTAAAATAGCGGCTAAATATTTACTACAAGTATGTCAGACATTTGCAGAGCAGAGATCGAACAAATAAACTTTATTTTGAAAGGGTTTAGACTTGGGCACACAGGCCCGTCTAACATTCTGCCTTTCTAGTGCACTCCTTGCAAACAGTTATTCATTCGTACATCATTTCATAGATAATAATAATAAATATGATCTCAACATCTAAGTCTTCAAGTCTGCACCTGCTCTAGGTGAAGATCATCTAAGAATATCTCAGCTTCAAGTTTGTTGCTTCAAACAATATATTGATATCTGAAAGTGAACCAAGAAGTTTAATGAATAAAATGGTATGGACAAGGGAGCTTGGGATACAGTTTGATATGTGTTGTTGGACATGGTTTATTCATGCTGAAATTTGTAACCTTCTTTAATCTCCCTAAATTGGTTCAGTGTACATTTGACCCATGTCAGGCTACTTCTGTTGCAGTAACATTTCAGTGAATAGATGATTAACTTGTATGTTTATTCACTCAGTAGACCTGTTTTATATATATACACATATATACATACACATACATATATATGTATATGTGTGTGTGTGTGTATAATAATTAATTAGTGATCAGCACTGCAGTTTGTCTGTAATATGAATCTCATAATATTTGTTATTACATTTCCAATAAGCCATATTGTTTGCATTTTTATTTGTTATTTCACCTATGTGTTGCAGAAAGCAAGTAGTTTTAATAAAAAATATTCTGAGGTGACATTTTCTCTAGCTTCATGTTGTTGCACTTATCATGCCTCTGATGTCATTTCTTAGACTGTTTCTTCTGGTTACATTGAAAGCTTTTTTCAGGGACCTCATCTCAGATGTTGTTATCTGGCTATGATGTGTGAGTTTTCTGTTGCTATTGATTCACATTTCTGACTAAAATCATCAGGAAGGCACTCAATTCATGTTACTTGTTATCCGTATCAACATCCTACCACATCGGTCTGACCCATTCATGCTCGCTCCATCTTTGTATGAAATTTAGAATTGGTTCTGTGCCAACTTTGTCTGTTGTGACTTCACTCCTTCTAGTCACTCCTTCAGCCCTTCTTTTTACATCACGTTTTCAGGGTTACTAATTTTTGTTTCTGGTTTGTTGTGAGTGACCACGTCAGTCTTCAGCAGCATAGGGTTGGAATGAATATGCTTTGTATGAAATGTTTCTTTGTGCTGATTGGGACGGTCTTGTACTTTCTTCATTCAAACTGCTACCTTTGGTGAATGTTGTTTCCAGATATTTAAACTCACATGTCTGTAATACTTCAAATAGTATACTATATATAATGACAATTATATTATTGAATATAATTGTAATGTAAATAATCTGTCACAATTTTCCATGTACATACATTATTTTTTATCTTCACTGAATCAGTTGTGTACTGTCGTTCCTTCATAGTTTGATATTGTACATTCCATGTTTACCGAGGCAGCAGCACTTTTTCACACATTGTTCCTCCATTGTTGTCCCATTCTTTATTCACTATTTTCACCAAATGTTTTTTGTGTGCACCTCATTGTCTACAGTGTACATATGTGTATTTGGTGTTGTGAACTGTTCAAAATAGAAATGGAGAGAGATATAAGAGTCGGTGAATACTAGTGTGTTACATTGAAGTATAGCAGTTTATAGAGCAGTGAATGTTTGTTTGGCTGCTAGAGTTCAGAATCAAATGGAGTTGGTAGAGAGCCAATTATATTGTACTGACGTGTAAATTGGTAAATATGGTGATAAATAGCTGTAGGCAGTCAGTTTTATTCCCTGTGTGTCCCAATGCTCTAGTTGGGGGGGGGGGGGGGGGGACCTGCTGTCCCCAACAGACATGTTGTAAAATGTGACTGGAATCAGATGCTTTTGGACCCTGTAGAAGGGTAAACACAGAGAACAAGAGGGAAATGGCAGTTGTACTGTACCATCTTCAAATGCTGGTATAATTGTATAGTGAGACACGGAAGTAGTCATTTGTATTGTAACATCTTACTCATTGGTACACAGGTGTGGTGATAAATACACATTCAGTGGTTTTGTGCCATAGATAAACAGTGATACTGTACCATTATACTGAGAAGTATAATTGTAGAATAATAAATATTGCTAGTCGGTAGGTTACATTGTACCCTTGTGTTGAGTGGTACTGTTGTATTTTGTTGGGTCATAGTTTCCTGTTGTATTCTACCATAATATTAGTTGGTGCATTTGTATAGTGATTGATTATTAAGCTTGTAGAAATTGTATAGTTGTATAGTAAGTGAAATGAAAATAACAATTAAAAAATTGGTTGCGCATCCTTTACAGGCTGTTGCAGAACCAACCCCACCATTGTTTATTGCCTGTTTGTGATTTTACAGCAGTTTTATGTTCAGTAGTTTGCCATTGCTTCTGAAGGGTTGGTGCTCTCCACACCTGTCAAAATCAGTGGGAAATGATCTGCTGCCAAATCACCCACAGCTGGAATCAAAACCGCAGATTTTGTAATTAATTACAGAGCACATTGGCAGCACATAAGCCACAGATGCGACCCAT